ATAGTTTGGGAATGCAAGCATTTGATATACACAGGGCACTGAGTATGTGGCTTAATACACATTGAATCTTTTACCTTTTTATTATTAATGTAAGTGAAATTTAAATAGTAGATTTTTCACTTCTGGTTCATGTGCTATTAGGTTTAAGTCTTGTTTGTCTGTACCATGGGAAAAAATGCTATTAATGAGTTAGTCTTGCATAGAAGTGACCAGGGTTCATCTGCTGTACGTAGTTCTTCAGATGCAGATTCCTTTAATTACCCTGTGAGGTATTTTGTTTACATTGCTCAGAACCGCTTCCAAGATTGACTGCAGGAGCTGTAATAGGGAGTACAGCCTCCTGGAAGAGGGAGGGACAGTGAACTGCTCTGTTCTGTTTGGAAAGGAGACAAAAGAAGTTGTCACAAGATACATGTTCTCCTTCTGCATTTCAACTTTTACTTCAGGTCATTTGCAAACTCTTAATGGATGACTCCTGTTTAAGTTACATGAGTTTCTGGTAATAAGATTTTCCCTTATCTAACAGATTTCAAATAACAGCTTTTAAAGGCAGAAGAGCCTGTGCTGGAAGCAGGAGATTAGTAGCACATTTGGCTTTACTGAAGAGAAAAGGAAGAGCTGGACATTTTACCCTAATACTGTATAATCTGGTGGTTTTGGCATGTGTGACCTAGGATCAGCTGCAGTTTGAGTTGAGAGAAATTTCTTGAACTGTTCAAGAAATGAATACAAAGTGTGTGTGCTACAAGAATTACCAACCAGGCTTACTGGAAAATTGCTGCATTTTTAACTTAGTTGAAGCTCTCACGTGGCTTTTCAGGGTCTCCTGATGGATGTGAGATTTCAGTAAACTGTAGGAAATGCTGCAGAGAAATTATTGGAGTATTGTTTTTATTGGAGAAGAGAGTTTGTGGAAACCCAGGGAGAGAAACAGCATTTTGCTTATAATGTTTCAGTCTAAGTCAAAACTTCAGGTATATGCTGCCTGCAAGGTTTCTCAACTAAACAGTTACTTGTGGAAACTCAAGAAATAAATG